TTCCAAAATTCCTTGATCTTTTTACTCAGTGCCACTGTTTCCTGCACTGATTTTCAGCAACTGCTGCTAAATCTACAGTAAAACAAGAGCTATTTTAATGATAGTTTGAATAGTTGATAGATTGGACTGCATGGTTTGGACCTGTTGTTATTTAATTTAAAAAATAATTTTAAATTATTTTCGGAAGGCTCCCCATCTAATCTATTGCAACAGCTGAGAGGGAATTTCTTTCACCACTGACATTTTCTTCAGAGAATGCAAAAATACAGTACTTTTGGCAACTCAGTTTGGTGCTGTTAGTGGCACAGAATTTACACGTTGCAGTTTTAGGCATCATTTGTGTCAAACAGCTTTTTCCCTTTTTGCTCTCTGACTGTTTAATTTGGCCAAAAAAAATTATAATACAACAGGGAATGACAAGTCAAAAGGGAATGATCTTAAAACATCTTTGATGGTTAATGGCAGTATCGGTCCAATACAGAAACAAAAACAGTCATTCAAAGTTCAATTTCATGCACAAGAAACATACGACTCAGAGTAAAAAAAAATAATGTTCGACATTATTGGAATACAGTCTATTTTTGGGGGACAAACACAGACACAATTTTGTCAGTTCAAACTAAATTGGTCCGAATTAGAAATTTGTTCACTGCCGCTGACAAGCACAGGACGGTTCGACTAGAGAATGTTTCATTAACATCTGCAAATTTTAAAATGTCATTCAGAGGATGACATCGGTCAAACAAACCACATAGGCGATCAAAAAGTTCTTGTTATATACAGTACGAAGTTGTGAACCATATCAATATATATTTATATATATATATATATATATATATATATATACCTTTTAGCACTCCATAAGATAAGATTGATACAAATTTTGTATTTCTCGGCATGGCAGAAAGAGATACAGTAGAAAGTGCAATGTCCTAAAACCAAAAAACACAACACAAAAATAAAATGTGCACATCAATGGGTGTGTTATTCTAAAGCTTTAGTGCAATACAGCCACTGTTCAAAAAAAGCACTTGAAGGCGCGAGAGAGCGAAACCCATTAAAAAACACCCTCGATACTTACTATGATACCTAAGATCACAATAAGTCTGTAAACGGAGACGGCCAGAGAGAGAAAGAGGACATTCATAAGAGTAGCAGTCAAGAGAGTCACAGTTTATAGAAAAAATGTGTTTCATTCTAATATGCTGATTTGCTGCTCAAGAAACATTTCTTATTAGTAGTAATGTTGAAAACAGTTGTGCTGCTCCATGATGCTTTTCAAAAGAACAATTATTTAAAAAAAATATTTTGTAACAATTGTCTTTACTGTCACTTCTAGTCAATTTAACACGTTTCTACAAAATTAAACTCTTAATTTCTTTCAAATAATAAATAATAATAAAAAAAACATTTACTGACCCCAAACTTTTGAATGGTAGTGTATGTAAATATGCGAACTTCCTGAGGATTGTAAACTCTGTGGTGCTTTTAAAACAGTTTGTTTGAGTGGTCTGAATAATGAACGTTTAGCTCAACCAGTGGTGTGGGTTTGGGGCAAAACTACATATTTTTCCAAACAATGAAAAATGGAGTGTTAGGTAAATGGTTCTAAAAAAAATATGGCTGAATAAAAATATCCAAACAATCACTATAGTTATTTTTAAAATTCCAAGATCCAAAAGATCTGAGGTTCATTCCAAAATTCCTTGATCTTTTTACTCAGTGCCACTGTTTCCTGCACTGATTTTCAGCAACTGCTGCTAAATCTACAGTAAAACAAGAGCTATTTTAATGATAGTTTGAATAGTTGATAGATTGGACTGCATGGTTTGGACCTGTTGTTATTTAATTTAAAAAATAATTTTAAATTATTTTCGGAAGGCTCCCCATCTAATCTATTGCAACAGCTGAGAGGGAATTTCTTTCACCACTGACATTTTCTTCAGAGAATGCAAAAATACAGTACTTTTGGCAACTCAGTTTGGTGCTGTTAGTGGCACAGAATTTACACGTTGCAGTTTTAGGCATCATTTGTGTCAAACAGCTTTTTCCCTTTTTGCTCTCTGACTGTTTAATTTGGCCAAAAAAAATTATAATACAACAGGGAATGACAAGTCAAAAGGGAATGATCTTAAAACATCTTTGATGGTTAATGGCAGTATCGGTCCAATACAGAAACAAAAACAGTCATTCAAAGTTCAATTTCATGCACAAGAAACATACGACTCAGAGTAAAAAAAAAAAATGTTCGACATTATTGGAATACAGTCTATTTTTGGGGGACAAACACAGACACAATTTTGTCAGTTCAAACTAAATTGGTCCGAATTAGAAATTTGTTCACTGCCGCTGACAAGCACAGGACGGTTCGACTAGAGAATGTTTCATTAACATCTGCAAATTTTAAAATGTCATTCAGAGGATGACATCGGTCAAACAAACCACATAGGCGATCAAAAAGTTCTTGTTATATACAGTACGAAGTTGTGAACCATATCAATATATATTTATATATATATATATATATATATATATATATATACCTTTTAGCACTCCATAAGATAAGATTGATACAAATTTTGTATTTCTCGGCATGGCAGAAAGAGATACAGTAGAAAGTGCAATGTCCTAAAACCAAAAAACACAACACAAAAATAAAATGTGCACATCAATGGGTGTGTTATTCTAAAGCTTTAGTGCAATACAGCCACTGTTCAAAAAAAGCACTTGAAGGCGCGAGAGAGCGAAACCCATTAAAAAACACCCTCGATACTTACTATGATACCTAAGATCACAATAAGTCTGTAAACGGAGACGGCCAGAGAGAGAAAGAGGACATTCATAAGAGTAGCAGTCAAGAGAGTCACAGTTTATAGAAAAATTGTGTTTAAAAAAACACACAAGACCACCGCAGGCAGGTAAACCCCATATCAGAGCAAAAGAAAAATATACCTAGACAGCGAAAGTTCAAATCCACCCCATTGGATGCATCACATTTTCAAATGAATAAGGTAAATGCTGCGTTGAAGCTGAAATAAAATTACACTGCAAAAAAATACAAAATAAAAATAATAATAAAATAAAATAAAATTCTTAATAAGTATTTTGATGTTTTTCCCAATAAAAATATCTAAACATTGTTAAATCTAAACAACTGTATTATTTGTTTTATTTTATTATTATTTATAAGATTGATATATCTCTTAAATTGGCAAATTGGTTTATACATAAAATTAGAAAAACAAAAATACAGTGGTGGCCAAAATTATTAGAACACTAGTATTTTCACCAGCTAAAAATGGTTTTAAGTCAGTTGTTTCTATATCTTTTGGTGTAGTGTGTCAGTAGGAAATATCAGCTTACATTTCCAAACATTAATTTTGCCATTAATTGTAAAAATCCAGTGAGATCTTTGTTTGCACAACAGCCAGTGCTCCTCACAGAGATCTGATCTGATCATCATCAGTCTGTCTGGAATGACATGAAGAAACAGAACAAACTGAGACAGACTCAATCCAGAAGAACTGTGCCAACGTCTCCAAGATGCTTCAAGAAACCTCCCTGCAAAGCTAGCTGAAAAACTATGCACAAGTGCACTGAGGGCAAAAGCTGCTTTAAACACAAAGGATGCTCACACCAAATGTTGATTTAATTTAGTTAATAGAAGTTAATTGATAAAGAAAATTTATGTATTACATTATTTTTGACAGCATCCTCATTTTACAACATTTTTACACAAGTGCCTAATACTTTTAACAGTTCTGTAGCTTTGCAGGAAGGTTTCTTAAAGCATCTTGGAGACATTGGCACAGTTCTTCTGGATTGAGTCTGTCTCAGTTTGTTCTGTTTCTTCATGTCACTCCAGACAGACTGATGATGATCAGATCACATCTCTGTGTGGAGCACTGGCTGTTGT